GTCACAGGGACTGCAGCTGTCTCAGCCACTAGTGCATATCCGACACACTGATGAGCCAGGAGCAGTGGGGATCAGGCGGAGATAAGAGAAACAGAATTTAAGACTGACGGAGAGAATGAAAAGAGAAGGACAGAGATATATTGAGAGAAAGCAGGGCAGAAGGATAAGCTAACAGCAAAATTGTTGAAGCAACAGGGCAAATGGGGGAACATGAGAAGGATAAGAATGAAAGGGGCACAAAGGGCACACAGATGGAGAAGAGAGAGAGAGAAAAGAGAGGGAGATGGATCGGGCTTTGTCCATCAAACACAACAACAGAAAAATACCCAGATTACACAGAATAAAACACAAGACTAAATAATTAATAAACTATCCATAATCCTATAGTTTCTGTCCTTGAATATGATTTGTCGAGTAGTGTTCCAAGAGAGCTTATATAACAGCCAAACAGCACTGGGACTTTTCACTTGCTAAAATGGGAAACCTTGTACTACTCTTACTACTAGTAGTATATCTATTTCTATGGTAGTTGTGTGCTAGGTTCCAAATTCAGCAGCTGTTTCAGTGACAGTGTCTGCAGGTTACATCGTTTCACCAGTAGGCGACAAGTGAGTGTCTTAATGAATGTATCACTGAATCATTCAGTCAACCGATACATTCAAAACACTCATTTATTAAGGAGCTAGCAAGTAAATACAAAGTTCTGTCATGAAACTCTAGATGGCACAGGTCAATAGGTTCTAACTCAATCTGATATAATCACATCCTTATTCACATCAGCAGCCAATGAGGTTGCTACTCAACATTCAAATACTTGGCTAGTGCTTGCTGAAGCAGTTGCAGTGCACTTCAAAAACCCTCCACCTTTCCCAGCTCCACGTGCATAGACCTGCTTCAGGGTGATTTCATGTATGCTATATATTGGGGTTATTTCATTTGTTATACAGTATGTGCAACAGCAGCAGTATTTTCTTGCATGCTCACAGCAGCATGTTGTGGATGTATTGGCAGCAAGTTTCTGTACTTGCTCTGCCGCATCTGTTCCACCAGGACCAAACACATTAGCATTGCCATGTATATTACCATGCTAAAACTCTCAAGAGAGTTGTCATGACAGAACTGTTTTTATGAGTGAATCATTGAGGCATTTGTTCTATTAGTTTCCTCGAATCACTAGTAATTCATTCAGGAATGCAAAAAGTAGCTGTATTTATGAATAAGTCCTTAAATCATTAACTTAATTGATTTGTTCAAAAACACTGATTAATTCAGGAAGCAAACAACACTGTTTTGTGTTGCTCTGCAATGCAACAGATCAATTGGCAGAGCCAAAATAGATGTGGTCACATTTACCTTTGTACACATAAAAAAAATTGTGTGAGGGACATGTGGCACGAAAATTTACAGCTCACTTTTACAGAATTCTGATCAGCATATTTGTCTGCATTGTTCGTGTGATAGGCTATCTGTATAAAATCAATATCACACACGCTGTGCTGTTGGTCTGAATGTCAGCTGATAATCAGAACAACAGCACTCTTACTTGTGTGACATTGCTTAAAGGGATGGTTCACCCAAAAATGAAAATTTAAGTTGCGTCAGTGAATCTGCTGAAAGACTATGTATGAGTTGTATGAGTTGCTTTCTTATGTTGAACATAAAAGAAGATATTTTGAAGATTGCTGGTAATCAAACAGTTGGTGGTTGCCATTGACTTCCATAGTAGGAAAAAAATACTATGGAAGTCAATGGCAACCACCAACTGTTTGATCACCAGCAATCTTCAAAATATCTTCTTTTACATTCAACATAAGAAAGCAACTCATACAGGTTTGGAACGACATGAGGGTGAGTAAATGATGACAGAGTTTTCATTTTTGGTGAACTATCCCTTTAATACAGATATCGGATTGATGTATAATACAGACACAAACAGTGCAGACAAATGGTAAGTTGATCAGGATTCTGTGAAGTCTGCTACTGCTGCTGACTCAGGGGTCTGAGTAATACAGCTGCCCTCTTTATGAATAGCTACAGCTAAAAGGGTTTTATCTTGGGAATACACAGAGGAACGATATACAAACATGCACATTACACTAAAATATTCCACTAACAAAGACTTGTTACCATGCCTACCAGTCTCTGACCTGCAACTGGAACACACTAAAACTGAAAATGAATGCTGATGAGAAACGTCTTTGATGTCTTTTCACACTGCACATTAGTGTACAGAACACAATGTTGACTGGAGAGAACAATGTTCTAGAAGTAATAACATCTGATACTTATAGTACTTATAGTACCATAGTACTTAAAAATATTTTTAGGTCTGACCTTCTTCCATGTAGCCCAGTTCACTCGGTAGTTTTTCTTTTTCTTTTCTATGTACTGACCTATATGGCTGTCATCTTGGACTTCATCATGCAAAACTTGTCAATTATTAATGCCATTGTAGAAATGCACTAATAAAACTAAGCCATGATCATTTATCTCATGAGTGAAAGTATCTAATAACAAAGTAGGTTGTGAGTGTTGAGCTGGCCATGTGATCTTAACATGTATCTTAACAATAAATCTGTAAAACTTTACAGTAAGGTTCCTTTTGTTTACTTTATTTAGCTACATTTAACACAAACTAACAATGAAAATTTATTTTCTTATGTATTTATTAATCTTAATGTTAATTTTAGCATTAACTAACAATAATATTAGTAGCAGTAGCTTTAGTAGCTAATGTTAACAAAGATTAATAAATACTGTAACGAATGCAATGCATTGCTTATTGTTAGTTTATGAATTAATGTTAAATAATGGGACCTTATTGTAAAGCGTTACCAATACATCTTTTATTATTTTATTATGTGCATTTTTAATAAAGAATAAACTACTCAGCATTACAGTACCTTTAGTTTAAAAAAAACTTTCAAGTTTATCCATCACCTTGGTTGATGATGGTGTTACCTGAGCTAGATTTGACTCACTTTCAGAAGAAAAAAAAAAAAAGCTCAACTTTCATCTCATCAGACTTCAGTTTTCCTCCACCACTTTTCAGGTCATCACATGGCTTCTAGCAAACTCCAGGAATGACTTATATTGGCTCATCTCATGCGTGGTTTCCTTCTAGCCACCTTTCAAGTTTATCCATCACCTTGGTTGATGATGGTGTTACCTGAGCTAGATTTGACTCACTTTCAGAAGAAGAAAAAAAAAGCTAAACTTTCATCTCATCAGACTTCAGTTTTCCTCCACCACTTTTCAGGTCATCACATGGCTTCTAGCAAACTCCAGGAATGACTTATATTGGCTCATCTCATGCGTGGTTTCCTTCTAGCCACTCTCCCAAAGAGGCTGAATCTATGAAGTGCTAAACAGATTGGTTATGTCTGAACAGTTTCTCATATTTCAGTCAAAGCTCTCAGCAGTGTTGTAGCTTTCCCTTTGGTTACTTCTCTGCTCTTTTAGTCCAGTTACTCAGGTTGGTTGGTCTTCACTGCTCTTCTAAAGGTTCAAAGGGTTGTCTAATGTGTATAAACATAAAGTACAACTTTACATCCATAACACCTTACAGTGTTTGTTATGTTTATTGCAATTTAATAAAAAAAACAGTGCAAGGATATGATAATGTAAGCTTATTCAGAAGTAGGCCATTTATTTTCTCACTATTAAAATCTTATCGCCTCATGGGAAAGACAGCTCATTTTCTCTGAGAAATGTAGTAAAACAACATTGTGTGCCAAAACAGTACAGATTATATTACATGACCAGTTTCTCAGCATGTACACACTTTACTCCTAACTTTATTCTTCTGCTCCTATCCGTCGCTATTTCCTCTCTGTGTTTGAGTGAAGTAAGCCAGAAATAAAACAGGCCTTCATCCAGTAATGAAATGTCAGAGCAGTGGGCTTGTTTGCCCTCCTCAAATAATTTGCAATATCCTGACATCATGTGGTGAAGATTGGTATTGGCTCTTTTCATGCTATTTATATTCCAGTTTAAGTGAAATGACGACCTATATAGGCTATTTGTAGATTTATATATAAAATGTTTTTCTTTTTAATATAACGATTTATACTTACAATTAATACTTGTATTAACTAAAACTTTCCACACATTTGTTATTCAAAATATAAATGACATTATGATTATACATCATGGAAGATGTACAAAATACACAGCTCTTTCTTTTTGGTAAAAACTCATATTTTTTCTCTTTATTGCGTTTTTAAACAAGCAACTCCAAAACTAAATGTCACACATGACAGAGGGCTGTCATGTTTGTCAGCCCTCTGTAAGTAGATGGAAACACTAGAATGCTTGTATGAGCAGCAAAGAATGAGCTTTTAAACCTAAAAGCCTGGGAGGTAAAGAGAGACCTTAGAACAGGGGTGCCCACACTCGGTCCTGGAGGGCCGGTGTCCTGCAGAGTTTAGCTCCAACCCTAATCAAACACACCCGAAGCAGCTAATCAAGGTCTTACTAGGCATACTAGAAACTTCCAAGCAAGTGTGTTGAGGCAAGCTGGAGCTAAACTCTGCAGGACACCGGCCCTCCAGGATCAAGTTTGGGCACCCCTGCCTTAGAATTATGAATGAACTGATTAATCAATCAATCAACGCTGTAAAGCTACGTCATGAAGTTAGATGAAGACGGCGGATGGATATGATGTTGTGTTGGCAGTCTGCTCTAGTTCCTGCTCTGCCTCATGATTTCTGAGCATTGAGAGGAACGTCACTGTGACAGAATTTATTTTTCTGTAATGGGCTACACAGCGCGGCTAATGTAAGCAGTTCGTCGCAAAATTAGTAACACGTTATGCTTCACTTGAAAGCTAATATGAAGCGCAGTTAGGTGAAAATATGGGGAGAATATGCCGAGATTGTCAGAATACGGTTGACTTGCCTCAAATAGTTACTGCTACAAAAAAAATATTTTGCTTCCAAGCGACAAAATCTGTTAGCAGGATGGGAACTATTTCTTCAGGAAATCTCTTTAGGCGGAGGGATACAATCCTTCAGTGCGAGACACGAACAGTCGGTCAATGCGACCGTTCACCATCATCACAAAACCAGAAGTACGCATCTCTTACTTACACCCTGTCTGCAAATATATGTGTAATTGTACCACAAAGTACAGCTGCTCAGAAAGGAGATTCAACATGACGTAAGGTAAGAAGAAGACATAACATTTGTTGGTTCGCTAGCTCGGTGGCTAATCGTAGCGGCAAGTGCATTGATTACTGATGCTTGGATGGCTTTAGCCAATGACTGTTATTATCTCGGAACGCTTTTATACGTTTTAGTGTAACGTTAATGTTTATGTCATATGTATTTTACTCAGTAACGGTATCGTTTATGAAAGTGGCATACAGTTTTGAATGTCCTCTCACTCAGCGGTTAGTTTTGAGAGTGTCGTGCATTATTGAGAACAATATGTTCATATTTAGAGAGCTTCGTTGCCATCATTTGCCCCTTAGGTGTAATAATACTGTTTTCGCACGAAATAAGGAACAGACATGAACGTTTCGTCTTGTTGTGAGGCGTTCAACTCAATAGTGCGTCGAAGTTTGCTTGACAGACAGATGTAACGTTAGTGTTTTGTATTTACTTGAAACGCACTCTTGTACGTTAAGTCTAGATGCTTGTCTTATTATGAATAGCCCGTGTTTTATTATGAATTTCGCTCCGTTATTCTGATTCTTTGTGAACTGCGCTAACGTTAGATCGCGAACTCATTTCAGGTGCCATATGGTAGCTAAATGACTCGCCCTGCCAATGATTATTTGTTTATTTAAAGGTCTCTATCGACTGTAAATTAAGAATTATGTTATGTAAAGTTTTTTTCTGTAAGGCACAAAATATGATGTTAGGCAGAATATTATGGACTGACGGCTTCAGTCACCATTAACTTTCATTGCACTTTTCTCCATACAATGAAAGTGAATGGTGACCAAGGTTGTCATTCTGCCTAGCATCTATTTTTGTGTTCCACAGAAGAGAGTCAGTCATACAGGTTCACCTTTGGTAAATTAAAGGTGACATTTGACACTTTAGCTTGTACACTTTAATTATTAGAATAATAGGCAAATTCTTCATCATGACTACTTTATTTTATTTAATACAATTAGTTGTAGGCATTTATTGGCTCAAACAGCATTTGAACAGCACTGAATGGGTTTGTTTCCCAAACCCAATAAAAAGGAAAAGTGATTTTTCCTTCTGTCCTAGGAATGGTGTGCAACAATTGGGTTTCCAAAATAAAAATAAAAAATGTTTCCATAGGGGAATTGATTTTTAACTTATAAGCCCTTTAAAAACAAACCTACTGTAAGATATGAGGTTGTTAAACAATGTTGAAGACATCAGACTGCATTATTTCAACTTATTTAAGTTGTTTATCAGCAGAATTCCTGGTGAAAATCTACATTAACCATGATTCTGCAAAGAAATCTTTACCAATAGAACACAAACAGCCGAGTTCCGGAAGTTCAAAAGGAAATTGGTTTTCTTTTTTGACAGTTAAACCTTTATAGACAGACCTGTTGTGAGGTCTGAAGTTCTCATTTGTTTCTCTTTACATTAATTCAACTTATTTTCAAAATAATCGTGTTTCATAGTGGAATTCATGGTGAAAAACTACATCTCCCATGATTTAGCCCTGCCCACTCCCTTGAAGCACCGCAAATAACGTGATTGAGTCGGTCTTTCAAAGAAAGCTTTCAAAATACTTAACTGTTTGTATATATGCGTATTTGGCAATGAACTTAAAATATGTTTCTATAGATACAACCTAAAACTTAAAATTTCTCCATTGTTTTTAATTCAAGTAATGTCATTCACAATGCTTCATGGAATTGTAGTTCTTTCTTCTTTCCCTCACTGAAGCTTATAATTAGTTTTGTAGCTTTGTCTTTTTGCTAGATTTTCATTTACCATTTTTGCTTCAAATAAAAGTTAGTGATGTGATTTTCCTCGCAACTGGTTGGTTTGGTTAATGGTTAAAAATGCTTTAACAAATACTTTAAAAAAAATCTCTATAGATGTTTTTCCTGAATGCGGAAGTCATGCCTGACTCTCAACCGGAAGGATTCTTTGCATTTCCGTCATTTGTCAGTGCCTCACTCCTCAAAGTTTAATGACTGTGTAGATGACAAGAAACTGCCGACGTTAGCTACATTAAACTGTCATTCAATGTATCATGGGATTGTAGCTCTTTTCCTCATGAAAGACCTTTGTCTTTTGGTCCGATTTTCAAATACGTTTTTGCTTCAAATCAAAGTTTGTGTTGTGATTCACCTTGCAGCTCTTTCCCTCACTGAAGCTTATAATTAGTTTTGTAGCTTTGTCTTTTTGCTAGATTTTCATTTACCATTTTTGCTTCAAATAAAAGTTAGTGATGTGATTTTCCTCGCAACTGGTTGGTTTGGTTAATGGTTAAAAATGCTTTAACAAATACTTTTTAAAAAATCTCTATAGATGTTTTTCCTGAATGCGGAAGTCATGCCTGACTCTCAACCGGAAGGATTCTTTGCATTTCCGTCATTTGTCAGTGCCTCACTCCTCAAAGTTTAATGACTGTGTAGATGACAAGAAACTGCCGACATTAGCTACATTAAACTGTCATTCAATGTATCATGGGATTGTAGCTCTTTTCCTCATGAAAGACCTTTGTCTTTTGGTCCGATTTTCAAATACGTTTTTGCTTCAAATCAAAGTTTGTGTTGTGATTCACCTTGCAGCTGGTTGGTTTGAATCATGACTTGTAACTCTTAAACTAAAACTTTTTTAAAATCTTTATTGGGAAAATGCTTCCAGAACCAGCACAGCTGAAGAAGTGAGCAGGTGCTGTTGTACTCTAAGGTTTGAAAGATTGAATGTGCTTCCAATGTAGTCAGCAACTTTGCTAAGATTCCTTCATCTGTTTAAAGTTTTGAATTCGTCTTTAAATCGGCCACTCCCTTGACATGTGTGTAGTGTGGCTGTAAGGTTCGGCTCTGTTTATCTAGTGTGGTTCACACCCTCCTTAAGCACAGGGCAGGTCAGGAGATCCTGCAGAGAGCACCAGCTTATAGCAGCCAGTGCCGGGACTTTGGATTGGCCTCTGAGTGCATTATGTGTCCAGCTGTGATGGAAAACAAAAGTACCCCATAATGAGCACTGCCAATCTCAACGATAAAGCTCCCCTGTCTCTCATCAGCCCCACCTCCATCTTTCCTTTCTCCAGCTTCTTCTAGTCACAACACGCAGTGAGTCATGTAACACGCTGCCCCCATCCCTCCCTCTGCTCTCCCCATCCTGTTGTCGTCAGAGAGCTGCCACGTGCCGGAGCACTCCGCTCATGGCATGAATAGAGCTCCGGAGGTTGACGTCACGCACTCTAAACTCCACCATTTTGGCAGGCAATCAGGAGAGTGCTAGAGCATTGGTATCGACAGTTGTACAACAATAATTTAAAACCAGACTGTTTAGACCTTACAAACCTTACTATTTCAACAGGGTGGACAGCTGCTGTGCGCCAGGATGCCAGAACAGGCAGGGGAAAGCTAGGGTTGCCAATCGTCCCGTATTAGCCGGGACGTCTTGTATATTGGGTTTAATTTATGTGTCCCGTACGTGACCTCACTTGGCCAGTTTCTTGCCCCCTCACACAGTATTTGTTAAGTAAATCAGAAAATCCTGAACCTAACTCTTTGGGGAAGGCTGCAGAATCCTTTGCTGGCTGGTCGCTCCCGCTTCACAATTAAGCGGCGCTCACGCTAATGCCAATTCCATCTGTGTTTTGACTTCGGTAAATCAGTTTTGGCAAATACAAACTTCGTGATTATTTTTCATGAGTCCAACATCCCGCCGTGCAAGAAAACATGCAATCTACCC